CCTGAGACCCGTCTACCTGGTAACTTTTGTCTTTTATAAGGAAAATGTAAAAAGCGTGGTGATGGCTTGAAGATGGAGAATGACCCCCAGGAGGTAAGCAGTGTCCTGCCCGTAGGGTCCTTGATGGGGGTGGGGGTGGGGAGCACTCTTCAGACCCCCTGCCTGCCTGTCCCAGCTGCTCACGGGACCCTGTGCTGCCTGTGGTCACGGGGTGGCTGGGCCCCAGAGCCCCTGCTGCACAACCTGTGTGGAATTTGAGCAACCTGAGCAGGGCTAGGGAAACTCGCCAGTTTGTTCCCCACCCCAGAGGCCTCGGTCCTGAAAGCACAGGACATGCCTTCCGGCCGTGGCCTGTGTGCCTGTGGGCATGAGCGTGGCTCCCAGTGGGCTGCCACGTGGCCACCACCACCACCCCCCCGACACAGAGAAGGTGGGCCCCAGCGGTCTCCGTCCGGGGCGGCTTCCCACTTCCTCCAGGGGCCCTGCTCCCCCTGCGCCTGCAGCCGGCCTTGGGGTGGGCAGCCTCCCCACTCCCCTTCATAGTAGGAAGGTGAAGTGCCCACCTGGCCCCTGTGTGCGGGGGTGACCACTGCCCCCAGCACGGCAGGCGCCGTGGCCTGCATGCTCTAAAACAGGGGTCCTCAAACTATGGCCCGCGGGCCACATGCAAATACAAATATATTTGTTCCCATTTTGTTTTTTTACTTCAAAATAAGATATGTGCAGTCCGCATAGGAATTTGTTCGTAGTTTTTTTTTAAACTATAGTCCGGCCCTCCAACGGTCTGAGGGACAGTGAACTGGCCCCTGTTTAAAAAGTTTGGGGACCCCTGCTCTAGAAGGTTCTCTGCAAGTGTGCTTCCTCATACTGGGACGCGGGCCTTGCTGTGGGACCTGGGCCCCGCACTCTCCTGGGGCCTGAGAGGGGGGGAGCTGCTGTGGCCGGTGGAGGAGTCCCCCCCAGGCCAGGCAGAGGCACAGGCGGCCCAGAGTCTGAATGTTCCCACCAGACCCTCTGAGGCAGTTTCCCCGCCCACACTACGTCATCTGTGTTTCCCCAAAATGGAAAGGCCTGTTCAGCGTTCCGGGGAGCCGTGGGCTCTGCTGGGGGCCCTGTCCGCAGCCGCGTTGCTCATGCCTGACTCCCTCCCGTCCCAGGCAGAGTCTGAGATGGCCCTGGACGCTGAGTTCCTGGACGTGTACAAGAACTGCAACGGGGTGGTCATGATGTTCGACATCACCAAGCAGTGGTAAGAGGTGCCGGCTCCTCGCACCCACACCCCAGGGACATTCCACAGGTCCAGCAGATGGCGGTTCCACCGGCGTCACCACTAGTGCCAAATGCTCCTTGAGGGCCAGCCTTGGGCTGTGCACGGTGGCAGACCAGCTACAGAACCAGACCAGATGTCGGGTCTGCTCGTGCGCTGGGCCAGCGTGGGGGTGTTCCCCTCTGCGGGGAGGCAGACAGCTCACGTGGGGGCGAGGCATGAGCCTGCACAGCCCCCAGCCTTTCCTGCAAACACCGTCCAGAATCTGGTGGAATCAAGTGGCCTTTTGTTGGGGCTCCCCCGAACCCCCTTCTTTGACTTGTGCTAGGAGGACGCACAGCTACGATCCATCTCAGCAGGGGGCTCCAGAGCAGGAGCAGCACGTTGGAGGTGCAGGGGGAGGGTGGGGTGCTGGGCGCCAGTTCCCAGGGCCTCTGCCTGGAGCCGCGTGGGACTCAGTGCCTGTCCTGCCTGACGCTGGGACGCAAACACCCAGGGAAAGCCAGTGTCTGAGTAGCGCGCAGGGTGCCCGTCCAGGGCGGCTCCCCCGGGAGAGCTGACGGGGCCGCACCAGCAGCCTCTGGGCTTCGAGGGGCCACCGAATGGAGGTCTTCGGGATGCAGAGGGAGGGCTGACGGCCGGGGGCGTTCATGCGGCCGCTCACTCGGCCGTGTAAGTGTTACTGTTACTGCTGCGCTGGAGTGCGTGCCGTGTGTGGGTCCGCGTCTGGCACCCAGCCCGCTCTCCTGAGCATCGCACGCCCTGCAGTTCCGGCATCTCCCTCGCACGCCTGGGTGTGCTGGGTGGGCTCATCCGTCTCCCATGGTGCCCAGCGGTGACTCAGGTCCCTGGTGTGCACTGACCACCAGCACCCACGTGACAGACCACTGGGTGGGCAGGCAGCATGTCGGAGATGTGCAATGGGTGGTGGAGCCCCAAGCACACGTGTCGCACATACCTGCGCGGAAAGCGGCAGCACACCCCTCGGGGACATGCCAGGGAAGAAGCAGCTTCCCCGTGGGCGCTGCGGTGGGCCCCTGAGCCGGGAGTCAGGTGGCTTTGCTGTGGGCTTTGGCACGGACACTGTCACTGAAGTGTCCTGGGGCTTCGCTGAGCAGTGACCTTCAGTCCAGGAAGAGCAGCGCTGGAGAGCTGGGGCAGGCGGGGCCGCCCATGCCTGCGCCCCGGTGTGAGCCGTGGGCACTGCCCGCACAGGAGGGGTTCCATCGGTCCAGGGCACGTGCTGCATGGGGCAGGGTTTCAGGGCTGAAACTCAGATGGGTCTCTCCTCATCTGTGCCTCCGAAGGACCTTCAGCTACATCCTGCGGGAGCTCCCCAAGGTGCCGACCCACGTGCCCGTGTGCGTGCTGGGGAACTACCGCGACATGGGCGAGCACCGCGTCATCTTGCCTGACGACGTGCGCGACCTCATGGACCGCCTGGACAGGTGCGTGTCGCTGGGGAGACGCAGGAGGCCTCGCAGAGACCTGGGCCTGGAGCCGAGGGGACGGGATGGGACGGGATGTGGACTCCGTGGGAAAGGGGGGAGGGCTGAGGACCCAGCGTGGCAGCTGGCTCCTGGCACCCGGCAGGCGGGTGAGGGGTGAGCGCACCAGCCCAGTGCCGGCCGCGCCCTGTAGGCACTCGGCTGAGCGGAGCTGCGAGGCTCTAGTCTAGGCCCAGGGCCACTCGGGGGTGCTGACCTGCTGGAGGCACCCCAGGGCCTGGAGGCAAAAGGGCAGCCTGGCCCAGTGCAGCCCTGCCCAGGCCGGGTGCTCGCTCCTCTCTGCGCAGACCACCGGGCTCCTCCTACTTCCGCTACGCCGAGTCCTCCATGAAGAACAGCTTTGGCCTCAAGTACCTTCACAAGTTCTTCAACATCCCCTTCCTGCAGCTGCAGGTGAGCCCTGCCCGCCTCCCCGTGGACGGGCGCTGACCCCTGCGCCAGGCTTCTCTGGCCCTGGTGCCCACCCCTCTTCACTGGGTGCCCACGGCGACCCTCTGGACCAGGCCTCAGCAAGCCTGGGGGTGCTCGGCCCCTCCCCGCTGTGCCGGGGAACAGCCCTCTGCCCGGTGCCGCACCTGCTGGGTGTTATAAAGCTTTAGCTTTATCTTTGGGGTGGTTTTTAGATTTACAGGGGAGCTGCCAAGATGGTGCCAAGTCTGTGCCCTCGCTCACTTCCCCAGTGCTGGCCCCTCACTTCTCCGTGTGCTTTTGTCAACCACAGAGCCGTCCATCCCTTAACGTGTGACACACGGCTTTGTCCGCACTCGGGGACTCCTCGGTCCCACCCGCACGCAGCTGTCACTTTGCTTTGGGGCAGTAGAGGTGACACCTGGCCAGGAAGCTGACGTCCACACGCTGGTCCCCGCGCTGACCTAACGCCCCGAAGCCGCATTGGCTCCGTTCTCTCCAATTGGAGGTGGGACTCGCGGGGACCAGCGTCTTCCTTCCCTCTCGCCTGTGGTTTGGGAGGCCTCGGGCCCCACAGGTTGGGTGGCTGGTGCTGTCCGCGTGGCCAGGCGAAGGCCCTGTCACTGCACCTGTTCTTCCACCCCCCGTGTCACTCTGTCCTTCAGCTTTCTATCCAAGTGTGACGCACACACAGCACCCTGTGGCGGGCGGCCCCGTGCACCCTGTACCGGCCTCCGCACGTGGTGCCACAGCACAGGCAGCACCTGGATGCAGGGCTCGCTGGGTGGCTTGTCCCTGGCACTGGCATCATCGTCACAGCCACACCGAGCGCCTCAGGTGTCACCCTGGCCACGGGAGGAGGTGGTGTGGACGTCCAGGTCTCTGCGTCCTGTTCTCGGCAGCTGCTGGTTCTTCAGTGGCGGCCGGGAGGCTGGAGGGCACGGTCACTGCCGCGGCGCATCCCTCAGGCGTCCCTTCCTCCCACAGAGAGAGACGCTGCTGCGGCAGCTGGAGACAAACCAGCTGGACATCGATGCCACGCTGGAGGAGCTGTCGGTGCAGCAGGAGACCGA